GGGGCGGGGCGGGGCGAGGGCACAAATCCCGCCTCTCCGAGGGGCGCTACGGCGAGCGGCGAGGGGCAGAATACCTCGGACGGGTCCAACGCCTTAAAGGGACAGTGTGCTGCGCGCGGTTCTTGCTTACAAGCGTTAACCCCAAAAGCGACCAGTGCAGGCCGTTCTTCTCTTGCACTTTCTAAAATCTGAAGTATAAATATACGCTACAGGAAAGTGCCTAGGGTACCCCTCGAATGCTCGCATCCGAGCTGCCCTGCAGCGACGCCCCCAGGGAGGAGCGGAGCGCCCATCCGGGAATCTAGGGCGGACGAGGCCCTAACGTTTCTCTTAGGAGCGCACCTCCCCTGTTGATGGGAGCGGCAGCGGACGCGTTCGGGGCATCCGGCCCCGCCGGGGCCGTGCTCTCCGCCGAGTGGCTGCAGTAATGCCCTGGACACCTCAGTAAACAGGGATCCTTACCTTCCTACTTTGAAGCGAGGACCCTGAGCTCCGAAAGGAGCTCCGCCCACCAGCTCTCCCGCAGGACCGGCTGCCTGGTTGGTGGTCTTCCCGCCCCTCCAGCAGAGAACCCGCACCTGCTTCCCTCCTGAGCCCCCAACACGGAGAGCCAATACGAATAGTCACTGCATGCAGGCTGCTCCGCTGTCTGTAAAGTGATGTCACAGACAGGTATCATCACCTCCAGTTACAAATGTGGAAGGGGAGGACCAAAGAGGAAGGCGTAAGGAGCCCCTGGAACCGCCGTTCTGGCCCTATGTCCTGCGCGTTATCACCCCGCTGCCCCGCTTCTGCTCCCCACGTGGGGCTTCTTAGAGTCGGAGGTGGTCATGGCCACCTCCCCCCCAACCCAGGCCCTGGGTAGAATAACATGCAGTCTCCTAATTCCAATTAAAAACGGGAACTCTGACACAGGAAACTCTGCAAAGGAAAGGACAGAACACTGGAAATGCCCGGATAAGTAAGGTGCGTGGTTGTCGCAGACACAGGAGCCAAAGACTGACAGCGGGTCCGAAGCCACCCTCTCGAGGATACAAGGGCGGCAAAGTCCCGGTCTGGCCCCAGCATGGTGCGGTGTGGATCTCTGTGCCCAGGAGACCTACTCACTGTGGGCCTGGTGCTCCGGAGCCTGAGGCAGTGACTATGAAGGTCACCAAACCAGGAAGAAAAACGCGCATCTGCACCCACCTGCCGCCCCGGTTCTGCCTCGCAATGGGCCTTTTCAAACCTCTCTGAGGCACAGTCAGAACTTCTGAAACCCAGCCCTGGTTTAAGACTCAGAGCTGGCTTCCCATTGCCCGCGGTCCAAATCCCAACTTTGCCAGCTGAGTTTACGGGACCAGCCTTACCCTCTAGCCTAGCACCACCCCCAACCTGCGCACCCCAGGTCCCAGCCGCAAATGAAAAGTACTTCCAGAGCTCCAGCCCTCCAGGTGGAGCAGGAGCTCCTGACCCAGAACTCAGAACTCAACCAGGTAAGTTGGTTGACAAGGGACACAGGGGATTAGAAACTTTCAGAGAAAATGAGAAAACGTTCTAACTTTGTTGATTGTGTATGCAATCCACCCCTGCAGCCATAGCTAGAACCCTGAAACCAATAACACAGCAAGTGAAGCAATTTAACAAAAACTTTAAAAACTCGTCTAAGTTTTAAATCCTTTTATATCGCTCCCCAAATGTCCTCAGGCTCAGAAAAATCACAGATGGAAGAGAGAATAAAAACTACAGAGAAAAGAAAAACATGTTGGAGATTTTTTTAAAAACATCAACTGCGTTTTGGCCAAGGGGAGCTAATTGGTAAACGAAACTGTTTCCGTGAACGATTTTTATAAGCACATTTCCCGAGGCTGTTCCATCAACCAGACAACGTGAGCCACCCTGGGCACCCTCCCTGCTCAACCAGGTCCCTCCTCCGGGCTCTCCTCTGTAGGGCACCCCTCCCCCAGCCCAGCCGACAGTCCTTCTTCCTCTGATCCCCAAACTCTGTCTTCCTGGCTCCATTTTCCTGGCCTGCATCTTCTCCCTGTGTCTCCTGGTTGAGCTGGGTTGGGGTCCTCATCACAGTGCTCTTGGCAGGCGGCCGGGGAGGAGAAGAGGAAGAGGTGCACCTCCGCGTTCAGTTGTCCAGTAAGTTTGTTATTCACGACCAGCCTGCGAAGTGGTGCCTTTCTTCCTTTTCGTAATGAAGAAACAGAGGCTGGGAGAGGTTGAGAAGCCACAGGCAGTAGGCACGACTGTGGAAGTCAGTACTGGCTCAAGGCAGAGGCCTGCACTCCCAACCACCGGATTACATGGTACACACTCAGTGGCGTTTATCGGATGGATGGATGGATGGATGGATGGATGGATGGATGGATGGATGAATAAGTGGTGGGTGGGTGGGTGGATGGATGGATAAGTGCTGGGTGGGTGGCTGGAAAAGTGCTGGGTGGGTGGGTGGATGGATGGATGGATGGCTGGATAAGTGCTGGGTGGGTGGCTGGATGGATGGATAAGAGGTAGGTGGGTGGATGGATGGATGGATGGATGGATGAATGGATGGATGCATGGATGCATGGATGGATGGATGGATGAATAAGTGGTGGGTGGGTGGATGGATGGATGCATGCAGATGTGTGGATGGTGGGAGGATGCATGGATGACGGGTGGACGGATGATGGAGGGATGAGTTAGTAAGTGAAAATTGCTGAGGGTCTTGAAAAATGAGGGCGGCTTGTGTCAACAGGAACAGTTAGGGTCTATGGTGGTAGCACGGCTTAATTTAAGAATGTCACCTTCTTATAGAACTTGAAGCTTTCGAAAAGCCATACTTACTCACCCGATGATAAGTATTTCGTCAGAGACAGTGGACCGTCAAACTCAAGAGGGCATGCCAGGAGGCGGCAGAGGAACAGCCCACGTGGCAGAAACGCTGCGGTGCTCCCCACAGTGGGCAGCAGCTGGGTGGAGAGCACTGGCCCTTTAATGGCCGAGCCCACAGCTTTGGATTCCGATGGCAGTTGATGAGGGTCTTGGAAGACGAGGGAGGGACACAGGGGATGCCTAGCACCCAGGGCTGCCGGGAGCTGCTCACCAGATCTCCAGACTGGACAGCCCCCTCTACTGGACCACCATTCCAGGGGCTGCTGACACTGCCCGAACACCCCGAGGCTCCCACCAGCCCAGGTCAGTGGGGTTTGTGCTAAGTTCCTTTTCTTCTGGTACCTTCGCTGGGGCAGCTGATTCGGGAGACTCACCTCCCCATTTTCTGCTCCTCAGGCTCTGCTCTCCCTTCCCCACGTCTCCTCACGGACAGTGGGCCCTCAGCTAACCCGACTCAGGTGGCCGCTCTCAGCCCCGGTGTCCAGAGAGCTATTTCTGGTCCTACCTTTGCCACCATCCCTGTCTGTCTTCCCTGGCCTCAGCTTCCCAGGTGCGGGAAAGCAGGTTAGACAGGAAGAACGCGTCAGCTCTTGTCATCGGCTGCGGGATTCTCCGAATTTGAATCTTCTCCTCCCATGGCCTCTGCCCAGTGCGGATCCCTCCCCCATGGACCTGACCCTGTCCCTTCGCTTCCTTCCCCCCACCCGCCTGCTAG